CCAGAAACGGGGCTGCCATGCTGTGGATGAGCGTCAGGGAGGCACGACAGGGAATATGCTGAGATGCGAAAATGGCTAGGATTTGCCTGCTGCGCTTAGAATCAGCACAAGCGGGTGGTGAGTTGCATTGGGGAGTATGCATCTCTTGGACACTGCTCAGTTCCGAAAACACACGCACACACAAATAAACACCGCGTACCTGCGTAAAGAGCTCAGTTTTTTTAACAGACCTGCGCCATTGATGCTTCTGCGCGACCCGCGTCAAAGCCAGCCATTGCTTGCCAAGGTAGGACGGACTTCAATCTGCTGTCCTTTCCTTTTCTGCTCAGCTCCCAAGTTCAGGTGGTATCGTTCAATCATTTGAGTTCAGGTACACTTCCCTTGGTTGGCAGTTTCATCTGTACAGTATTTCAGTCAGGTTGCCTTCCACGGCAGCCGCCATGTTCTGAACGCTAGCTGCAAGACGGGTCAGCAGCTTCTGTTGCTGCGGAGGCATGAGATGGTCCATGAGCCAAAGGCCAATGCGACTTACGCAGGTACTCTGAATGCATTGGCTGTACAATGCGAACTGGTATTGTCTAGCTCCATTTGCCAGACTCTCTGATTCCTAATTTAGCCTTACGGGCTGGCCCACGCAAACCCCAGGTGGGTACGAAGCCTGAAGTAGCACAAGAGTCCAGGCTCATGGCGTGCGCCAAGCGGTGCAATGCCGTAACCTCCAAGGAACAACATCATTAAACTCAAAGCACTCTGCGGAGTATTCGATAGCAATCATGCCAGTCATTGTAGACAGGGAATAGTCAAGCAAGATTTCTTGCAAGAGGAGGCTTTCTAGTCAGCTGAGCTACAACAGCGCGCTAGCCTCACATGTATACAGACCAGGGGCTGATGGGCAACGATCAAAACACATGTTTATCCACGGAAACGCATTTCAGTCTATGGTAGTCTTTGGTTGGTTTCTGTACAAGGCTGAGCTGAAAAGCAGCACGCCGGTCAAGAAGCACCGGGCCCTGACCAAATCCAGGCCAGGCCATTCGGCAAGAATCCTCATGGAAACATGTGCCAAACAAGGATTCCTGCCTGACACTTCGCGAAAGGCATGGGATAGTTTTTTTGGTGGAAAGCCGATGAGCTTCAGGTTTATCTGCAGGACACAACGATCGCAGGAGCGTCAGGCATGAAACTGGAGGTCGGCTATGGCAATAATAATGCATGACCTCAACGGATCTATTCTGCACATGATTTTTTGGAAATGAGTGGGCTGGGAACAATGCCGACCATGGAGTGAACACTATGTGAGTGCTTCCTGGCGGAGTCTGACTCTGAGTGCGCAATCATGTGGCCAAACTGACTGCAATACAGCCGATGACCTTCTGCGGCGGTCGAAGCCCGTGTTTGATGCACATCCGCAAATCACTAGACTGCTAGAAAACCAGTTGGTGCAATGAATTAGGATGGGCACTCTCACTGAAGCGTACGCTTCCGAAGCTCCCCAAAGCCATCCTAAGCCTCAGTCTCCCCGGAGCCCTCCTTGTACAGGCTCCCGATGAGGCCTCGCAAGGCGGATGCTGTCTTCACCTGATCACCCTCTTGGCCCGAGGCCTCCATTCTGGAGACCAACTGGAGATTGCCATCCTTGAGCACTGCCACCTTGTCAAACTCACAGTCGTAGGCCCTCTCAAGCACTCGCCGCTGCGAATCTTCGGTGACTTCCACCAGGTACCGAAGCTCAGCATCAGGATCCGAGCTACGAAGGAGGCAGCCAGGTCGTTCCCGCACAAGCTGGTCCACGCTGCTGTCTGCTGCACACTTGCAATAACCTCGTTTGTTGTCGCGTCTCACGACCTGAAGGACTCCTTCACAGAACTCCTCCTTGGACACAGAGAGTTGGTCGCAAAGGCGGCGCAAAGGCGCGAAATCGTAGCCTCCAAAGCGGTTGAAGGTGTAGAGCAGGCCTTGGTGCGCCAGAAAGCCGTCGCCATCCAGAAGCCCCTGCTGCTTCGACATCTCACCTGCCCAAAGCACAGCCATGCCCACACACTGGCCGTGAAGGCGGAATGCCTCGGAGTAATCCAAGCCGCAGGCTGTAGCTCGCCGGTAGAGGCCGTTCATAAATGCCTCCACGCCATGGCCCAGGGTGTGGGCGTACTCGAAGAGGAGCGCTCGGTACTTCTCGAATGGATCGGAGTATGCCAGGAACATGGCCTTTGCTGCGATGATCTCCGTGTTGATGACAGTCAGAAACTTAATCACCTCAGCACGATCCTCTGACGTGAGCTGGTCATGGAAGAAGCGGCGGAGTTCTGCAAGGCGCTTCTCCCTGTGTTTTGCACAAGTCGCCATCTGTCCAAAGGATGCCCGCTCCATGCGCATAGCACTGAGCTCCTCGCCTAGGGCTAATGCTTTTGCCTTCAGCTCTCTGGTTCCCTGCAAGAAACGAATGAGCTTCTCAAAGCCTCCGACGGTCTCGATGATCTTTGTGAAGTCGCTGGCAAACTCCACGCCGCCCAGAATGTTGTGCCAATCTTCCTGACCAGTCTTGGAGTTCGCAATGCCAAGCATGCCCATGGTCTTGCAGGCCTCGCCCACCGCTGCGTGTACACTGCTCTTGGACAGGGTAAGGAAGGTCTCACTGATGCAGAAAACCAGCTGAGGCAAATAAAAGGTACCAAGGATGTTCTTGGAAAGGATCTGCCCGTTCACAACCAAGCTGAACGCCTTCTTAGCCGAAGTGGTGGCGTCGTTGTAATGCATCAATGTTGTCGGGACCTCCACAAACACCGATCCCGTCATAGCAGCAATCATTCCAGTCGCGTTGCCATTCACACCACCGCCTACCGCGATCACCACAACCTTCTTGCCGCTCTGCTTTGCAGCTCCGATGGCCTTCAAGAGCTCCAACTGACCGTAGGCCTCTGGGCTTTTGCATGTTTCGCCTGAGGCGTGGGGAAAGTAAAAGCCGGGGCAGTCGTGCGCGGCGATCGCACCAAGTAAGTCATCACCATAGCCTAGAGCATCCCCTGTCTCACCCACAGAGACCACAGGGTAAACGTCCTGGCCATAGTGGCTCACAAGAAGGTTAGCGAGGCGCTCAACTCCGTCGGAATAGGCTCCCTCAAAGGTGACCATGGGAAGGTCCAGGCCGCCAATTTTGAATGGAGCAGGCTGCTCCTCTGGATGCACCTCTGGGCGGAGGGGTGACCAAGTTGTCAAAGGCTCTTTGAAGGTGCATGGCTCCAGCGGTCCAAAGATTGCTGCAAGAGATGCCCTCCCCATCCGTTCTGGCTGAGTTGCAGTGTACTCGAAGACCCCAGACGGAGATCTGAGAGTGCGCAATGGGTTCTCATACTCCGTTGCAGGTGTCACATACGCCAGTTGGATGCCGCGGAAAGGCAACATGGCCAGGATCACCGCCTGACAGCTCCAGGGATGAGTTACTCCACTATTTTGAAAACCCATCCTGTGTACATAGAAGAGTGTAAATTAAGCGGAAACTTGAACTGGCTCCCAAGGCACCAGTGCCATCTCGCCCGGCTCCCCTGCACCAACAAAGACAAGCAGTGTTGCACGATTTGCACCCTGAAGGATCAAATCACTGGCCACGTTGTAGAGCGCATCATACTCTGCTTTGGCATCATTGTCAGGAATGGTCGGCCAATCATGCACCACACACTGCTTCCCCAGTTTCGCTGCTGAGTTCTTGACCTGAGCAGCCCCGATTTTGGCCGAGACCCCAGCTGTTTGGATTACATGGATAGAGGAGAACTCCGTGGCAGCTTTGGGCAATGGCGTATTGCTCAGGAGGAAGCCGGCATCCAGCTGCAGTGAGCCATCAGGCATTTGCGGCACCTTGATGTAGGAGGCGGATGGGTCTGGTAGCACTGACTGCGGCTGAGTGAAGAAGATAGGCTGCGACCCTGACGCCGACTCGTCGGCAGCATCAGCAAAGATGCCCGACAACTGGGTTGTGAGGCCTTTGAGCCTGTTTGGTAGCCAAGTCGGCACTGCCGGCTCGCTCACAGTGCGAATCAGGTCTGAGTCATCATCCTCACTGAGTTCCTTGCAGATTCTCTCCACTTCCTGGTAGCCACCGTGTGACTGAGAGATAGTCCTCTTGAAGAGATTTGCAACCTCACCTTTGGCGCCAGATGCATAGCCCAAACGATACTTGCGGTAGTCATCGCGGTATTTGCCGATATCAGCTCGCTTGGCATCGCTGAGATGGTGGAAGAGTGGCTCGTCAATGGGAGACTTATCCTCATCCTCTGTGCCGGCAATCTTGTGCTTAGAGCGGGTGCTGTCCTTCTCGGCTTCCTTTAGGATGTCCTCTACCGGCCCTTTGGCTGGAGTGTAGCCAAGCCGGTAGGAACGGTACTTCATGCGGTACTTCTCCACATCAACACGCATGCCGGGGGTCTCTGCGGTGTCCTCTCCGGCACCCTGGTTCTTCCAGAAGGAGTAAAGCGGCTCTTCCAGAAACGGGGCTGCCATGCTGTGATGAGCGTCAGGGAGGCACGACAGGGAATATGCTGAGATGCGAAAATGGCTAGGATTTGCTTGCTGCTCTTAGAATCAGCACTAGCATTTGGTGAACCGAATCGAGAATCTTGAACATCATTCAGCATCCACATGTGTCACTCGTAGGCTTCGAGCCGTGTTCACCAAGTTCAGGCTGCCACCACCTCCGGCCTGAGCAGGTCACGCAGGGTGTGTTTTCTTGACCCTTTGAGTACGTCTTGGCGTAGGCAGTTTGGGATACCATTTGCCATCGAGTCGGCAGAGTAAGGCATGTTCAGTACTTAATTCGCCTGCCAATTCTGTCAACCGACAATGCTGAGAACATGCACCGCGAATGATGCCGCGAAGCGCTGCACGACTCTTTTTTGCAAGGGCTAGCAATAGCCGTGCGGACTTCGTATTATCTCGAGGTGAAAATTCGGCTTTGGCACGTGTCCTGTGGGTAAAGGGGACTGCTCAATGCATGGGCCAGATGCGATCAATGGCTATAATTCGAAGTGCATCTACTGAAGAAGCATGCGTCCAAAGCTTGTAGCCATCACTCGCCTGCTCGGTCAGAAGGCCTGGGCAGCATTCTTTTGGGACTATCATCATGCTGAGGGTAAGCGGAGAGATAAGGCTGCCTCCGAGGCAAACGTTGATTTATTGCGGTGCGGTAGTCTTAATTAAGCCTGGTTTCACGGGGCATGTTTCGCGTACACGTACCCATGACAAAGACCAAAACCAGAACATGGACTTGAAATCAAACCCCGACAACTTAGTGGGTCAGTAGCCTGCCCTAAAAACAAGGAACATGGCATAGCAACAGAACAAGGGCGTCACATGGTCTTTTGCCATGCCAGCCTGCCTAGCTCTTCTCCTCCAGCTCCTTCATAGACTCCGCCACTTCCTTGGTCGCCTCAGCTTGCCGGAAGCTGCATTACATAGCGCTGCATGCTGAAGCTATCTTGCTTTGGAATCTTCAGGCGCCGGGTCACCAGTGCTACAAAATGCTGCAGGGTTTGAATAGAGCTGCTTGTCAGTACGGAAGCTAAGTACCCCCGCCCCCGCGCCAGCTTCGGCAAGCAAATCACCGCAGACCTACCCAGTGTTCTGAATAACACAGACTCAGTAAGTCTTGCAGAGGGAAATGCAAACCGCAGGGCTTCGGATCCCACAAACCCAGAAACTTACGGACCTAATTACTTGTATTTTGAAGAGCTCATCGGCTAATCGTTTGAGCCAAGCATCAGCTCTGTTCACACCGTAGGAGGCGCTGGTCTTGCCCCTGTAGCTCTATGCAGTGCAACTTGGGAAACAATGTTCATATGCCTTATTCTTGGCGGCTCTTCTTTTGTTGTTGGTGATGGTGGCAGTGGCGCTGGCGCTGGCGGGAGCAGCGGTGCTGGTGTTGGTGTTGGTGGTGTTGTTGGTGTTGTTGTTGTTGTTGTTCTTCTTCTTCTTCTTCTTATTCTTTCTTCTTCTTCTTCTTCTTATAGTTGTTGTTCTGTTGTTGTTGATGTTGTTGCTGCTGTCAGCTGCTGTTGCTGTTTCTGATGCTGCGAGTGGTGGGCGCAGGCGTGCGCGCGCAGGTGTGGGTGTGGGAGCTCTTCTTCTTACAATAGTTATTCTTGTCATTCTTATTGCTATTGCTGTTGTCGTCGTCGTGGTCGTTGTCATTTTTATTGTGAGTGCCGTTGTTGTCGTTGTTGTGGTTGTTGTGTGCTCCGAAATAAACCGTGCAAATGTCTAGTTCGACATGAAACTATGAAGCTTTGGCAATCACAACGTGTTCGCCCTTGTTTGCAGTCGTGCGTCTTTGGCGGCCTTTTTGCTGCAGGATCCTTCTCAATCTTGGCCAGCAGGCGGTGGTAGGGCCTGCGACGAGCAAGCAGCTGACTGACTGGCCCATTCGGAAGCGCCTAATAAGCCCGCTTCTGTACGACAGAGCAGGCCTAAAGTGTTAACGTCTCCCATCCTAGTGAGCCGTCCAAAGGAAATATGGAAATGGCCGTAGCGGGGACTTCACCATGCATGTGTGTATATATATATATACATATACACATAGCGATCTACACATATCTTCACTGTATGGCTGTGGATCAACGGCCCGTTTTGTTGCGGGCCCCACCCCGCTCAAGCCTGTTGGTAGGAATCATACGTTTTGGATTCTCAGCCATTTGGGTACCCAAAAACCAAAGACATTGACCCCAAAGACACGAGCATTTTTCCAAGGGGCATGATGCCCAGCTGACGGAAGCGCTTGATGTAGCGAACAGCCCGCCTAAGAGCAGGCAGATATGTCACCATGGCGCAGCAATTTAGGTGGACAAAACAGAGCCTATTTGCGCAAATGGGCTCAGATAGTGGATCCCCCCTATCAGGAATGTATCAGTTGTGCAACAAGCTCGTTCCCACAAAAGCATCTCACATGCGCCCATGTGAAAGGACATTGGCCTTTACTATGCATGGTCTGCAAGTGGACAGCTTCTGTAAAGGAACCCAATGTCCATAACAACGTTTCCTTCGCGACTCTGTTCTTGTCACGGGCTCCCACGCATCCAAGCGGCTTGTGGTCAGACATGCGGAGCTTGGTCAAGACCTTGTTTGTTGCTGCCACTGGCTTCCTAGAAGGTTTTGAGCAACATCTGTGGAGAGTACATCGCAAGCACTTGACAGTGATGAGTTCCCATAGGCTGACCTTATCCCCGATGCGGCTTCATGATGCTATGAACTGTACCTCCTGGCGAACAAGGTCAATGAGTCTGAGTTCCCGCCTAGAACCAGGACATCAAAGAACAAGGTTGTAACGCGAATAGCTGAGCGTTGGCCCCTCGACGTGACAATGCTAAGAACCAACTCAAAACAGCTGCAAGCAGGCTAACCACACCGACCATCCTGATCTTCTGAAAGCCCATTGCTGAGGTTGGGACACGGGGCTTGAGGCGTCCGCTGGCATAAGTATAATTCTTCAGCCTGAGAGAGACGGGCTCAGATTTGGAGTCCAAAGGCCCTGGGACCAAGATTTCCCATCTCGGAAAGGTAGGGTTTTCGTGTCAGGACATGCGGGTGCCCCCTTGGGACATCTGCATGCCAAGTGTTGCGGCCGGTATGGAAACCACAATTCGGACTACAAAGCGCAGCTCTAAGGATCTCTAGATTATCTGTTCATGGGATGCTCGGCCATAATAGAGTCATTTCAGTGCGCTTGTGAACATACCAGAAAACAATATTGCAGTTGAGCTTGCCCCAAAAAGAGGCTGTCACATCCCCCCTATTTTGTCAGATCAAGCCGCGCGTTAACGTTCATCCAGTTCCCATCGAGCTTGTCCTTCAAAACTGGATGCCCATGTCAAATGGCGTTGAATCCTGCTAGTGCCTGTGGTGAGAAAGTTTTGCTTACTGCTGTGTCATCTCCCAAGACCGGAGCGCCGGACCACAGGAACAGCAGCCCCAAGCCACAAGATGTATTTGACAAGTTTTGAGGAGTCCTCGATCCACATGTTGATGCCACCATGGCGCCAGCCGTCGTTGTAGTAGGCTTGCTTGATCTCAGCAGAAGGTAAGGCTTGAGTGATTGAATCTCTCGAAGCGATTCATGGCCTGCTTTATGTCTAATTGCGATGACTTGCTGACAGGTCCTGTAGCTCTGTAAGGAGGTACAGTAACCCCGAATTGGATATGTATTGCGCCAGCTCTTCTCAATGACAGTGAGAACGGCTCCTGAGACGTCGACATGGCGGGAGGACATGGCTGTCACGGGTTCATCTGACTCGCCAAGCTTCTCGTAAGCGCCCACGAACCTCAACAGCAGCTGAGGCACCAGTCAGCGTGTTCAAGGCTTTTGGAGGGCTTAACGTTGAAGGTTTGCAACTTAAGAACAAATGTGCAGAAGGCTTCAAAGGCTAATCACTGTTCAGGCAACTACCCGGCAGTTACCGTCCCTTAAGACGAGATGAACTTTGCGCGCCCAGGTGCGCAGCAGGCTCTTCTACAGGGGCAGCCTGGGCCGAGCAAAATGTGCCACGTCCAGTGGTGTCTCAACAGTCCACAGGTTGATCACCAGGAGGCCCATGGAAACCCTCTGCTGACAGCCATGTCGACATGACGCAACGAAGAAGCTGGGCAACAAGAAGCAAACGTGGCAACTAAGCCGGGTTCTGCTCACATCGTAAACAATTACCTCATCACAGGTTACAGGCGTGGTTCGGTCCCGCCTTGGGCCGCATGGATGTCGGGGGCAAAGCAAAGTCGGCCCCATCGTCTGACCTTCTCCTGCCAGTGCCATGCGCGCTAGGCAGCAGAGGCAGACCACCCACACAACTATGCGTACCTTTGCAGCGGATATATAGGGGTTGCAGAGGATATATAGCCTTTAGGGGCTACAGTGGGGTTGCTCTGAAGCAGTTTGCCCCTGTATGCTCCAGAGGCAGATTGCCAGCGCCGCCAAGGCAAAGATGGGCAAAAGCCCGCGGCTGCGAAAAGTCCTGGGCGCCGCAGGACCAATCATGAACTCAACAAGCTGCAGTTTCAGGCTGACTTTGATTCTTTTTAAAAACTGTTACTTGGGTAGACCATGACTGAGCGGAGCATTCAGAACTTGCGATCCAAAGCACGCCATGGCTGTCCAGCCCCGGTGGCGCGGCAAACTTTGGCGCTGCAGCGCTGTCTCTGAACCCTAAAATGCGACGGGTGGCAGCAGCATCTTGCTGAGGCTTGAAGTCGTGAGGTTCTCAACAATTTGTTTTGTGCTGGTCGTGCCAATGGTTCGGGATGTGTTCGGGCTGAATTTCCCCCCGGTGACACACAGGAAAACCCTCCTTAAACATGTTCATTGAACATGCGCGGGGTACCGTGGGGTACAGTTTACCGGTTATATACTCACTTCCGTTGAAACCTCAAATAGAAACCCCAAATCTCGAAAACCCGTGAATGAGGTTGACTAAAACTGAAATGGGACCTCACGCGGTGTATTGTGTAAGGTCATGTAAAAGCTTGATTTAGCTTCTGCCCGGTTGTCAGTTTTGGGGAATCTGAAAGCGCTGAAGTTCTAAAGGCCCGGCGCCGTTGATGACCTGCTGCACCTCCTGCAGGCAAAGGTGATCCATGTCCCTCCTGCACCTTTTACCCTATACAGACCCCCAGTAGTATATGGACCCCCAAAAGGTGCCCCTAATCTTGGGAAACCCTAATCCACGCATGGACCAGATTGTGTATTCTATGTTCCAGTTTCTTTTCCATGATCCCCCTATATCGCTTTATGAGCGCTGGCCGAAACTCCTGGTCCTAGTATAACCCGATGCCATGGACAACTTGTGGGGGGGGAGTCCTATCGCTTTTGCGGGTTTTCGCGTAGGATGAAAGAAAGGCCAAAACACCGTCGAGGCTTCGTCTTAGATTCATTCTTATCGCTTTTGGGGCTTTTTGCGTGATTCCTGCATTTCCCGGCATTCCCTCTCTTTGTCCCTAATGCGCGAGTATTGACCATCGCTCATATTACTCCCTATACCGTTCTACTCCCTGCCACGTGGCGTCCTTCAGGGACCTGCACTTTGCCAGGCGCTTGTTGAGCTCGACCTTAGCGTTTTGTCAGCAGAGCATGCGCACCAGCGCTTGGAGAGTGAGGGGACTTAGTAGATATACTTTTTGCTAGCCACTAGAAGCTATGTGGGTTGTTCTCAAGTTTATGGACCTCCTTTTGGTTATAGAGAATGTTACGGCACCTCATATTTAGGGGTACCAAAATGGGACGCTAGATTGTTCGGAGCTGCCCATATCACAACGCCATGGGGGCTTGATGTCCGACGAGCCAAGAAGATCCAAGCAGAAGAAACACACCGATTCAGCGTTGGTCAAACAGAACACGTCACTAAATGGGCTACAGTCTGAACTCCTAGTATCCCCTTTTATAATCCCTATAATCGTCCCCTAAATGATCCCCAGTATAACCCCCTTTTAAAGAGTTTAGACCCTAAACCCTAGATAGTTTCTATTTCTTTTCCATTATCCCTAAATAACCTATATAATCCCTAGAGTATATGACTCCTATATAACCCGTTTAAGGACCCGAAACCCTAAACCCTAAACCCCAAAAACCCCAAAACCCAAAACCCTTTACCCCATTAAACCCTAAACCCCTAAACTTAAACTATAGCTCACATGGTCCGGCGAGATGCATGCCGCGCAGCGGCGCCGGCGAGCCAGGAACTCATTATCCCTGGCCAGGTTCTTTTAGGGTTTAGGGTTTGGGGTTTAGGGTTTTCCCCCCACCCCACAGGGTTTAAGGAGTTAATAAGGACTTTCTAGGGCTAAATAAGGCCTCATAGGGTTTTAAATCTGGGGGGTACCTTTGCTGGGTTGCTCTTAAGTAACTTAATTCGAGTTACCATGCTGGGAAAACCCCATTATTTACTATACATACCGACCCATTATAATTTTTTGGCAAGTTAGATTGAGTCCCTTAAAAGCAACCCAGAAAATTGTTTGCAAGTAGGATAGTTCATCGCGTTTTCCTACCTTGGCGAACACTGGTGGATATGTAAATGGACAGGTCCAGTCCCTTCTTGAGTTCCCACCTTTTCTGTGCGGCCGGCATAATCTGAGCAGGTCTCTTCACGTTCTGCGTTTTCTTGCCAATCCGGTAAACAAGATCCACCCCTCTACAACCATCCGGGCAAGATCTGGGCCTGCTGATGTACTTAGCTGCGGCAGTGAATTGAAGCATTCTGCAGATTCGCGCGGTGTCACATTCAAGACCCCGTCCAACATCCAAACATTCCACGACGATGATGATGCAAGGAGGATCCAAACAAATCACCATGTTCTGCTTTGCCATGTCCACGAGATGGCCCCTTGCTTGCCTTGCCCCTGCTGTCTGCCTATGCTGCTGGCTTTGTACCTCTGATCTTCAATGGTAGGCAGCCTGGATCTTGACCGGTAGCATTAAATGTTGGGGACTTTTGTGCAAACAGTTTCCAGTTTTCAGTCGTGAGTACGCGCGCAGCCCCTCACGACATGGCGGGGATAAGATCCGGCTCTTCCTGTCGCCAGCGACATGTGAACACTCCCTTACGCCTCACGCAAATGCTGGATTGCTTTGGAACTGTTTCTTACCCAGGCATATGCGTGCACAGATGACATGCAGACCGTCCTCGCTCCACATGATGCGCCGGTAGTCCTGGTCGTCAAGCTTGCCATTGTTGATCTCAGCAGCCGCAGCGTTCCGTGACATCATGAACCAGGAGCAAAGGCTCTGCCATGCAGCCAGGCACTTTGCGTGCGTACGCGTGCGTGCTGTTCAGACCTGATTGGGTCCTCCTGCCTACAAGGTCCTGTGGCCGGCTAAACAAACCTGCGGACGCGTTTGCGCATAGGTATCATGCCTCGTCCATGGCTACCTCTTGAAGACAGGCCCCTGAGCACTGGCCTACATCCGGGGAACCGAGTGCAGGGCACAGGCCGCAAAAAGCTCGCAGCTCGATCCGCCGCGAGAGTGGCCCAGGCACATCACATTCCTCCATTGGCGTTCAGAGGCAGTCGTCACCAGGCTTGGGGATTCATCTCGGTGTCAAGCCATAAGTCGGCACATGCATCGTCTGGAACGACCACGCAAATTCAAACCGCTACATGATAAGTATGCACATGCTGTTGGGGTTCTGTGGGTCTGCAAGCTCATGAACACACGCATTGTATGAAGCATGTTTGATTCAAGGCATGCGAAGCAGGAGCTTCTGCCGTCAGTGTCTTGAACTAGCTAGCTGCTTGTTCCCCTAGCCAGCCTGCACTTTGGCAGCATCTTTGCGATCTTGTGCCAGTTTGGTGATTGAACCTTTGAGCACAGGATGGAGACGCAACATGAGTGGTTTTTGTTCCTGCGGTATTTCTGATGGGACATCTGATGGAGCCCAAGGTCAGAGAAGGTCCGCATGCACAGATTGCGGGAAACATTGTTGGGAGCCATAACACGTCTCACAGCTGGCAATCCTACATGGCGTCCTGGATCCGACGTAAGCTACACTCCAGGGCAGCAAGCAGCGGGGCATTCATGCTGGACACATCAACCATCATGCTAATGATTATTGGGAGGTGCAACGTCCAATCAGGATATTCTTTGCAACCCTGGAGCACTCTCCACCAGGTAATTGCGGTAGCCGTGGTGGACGTTCGTCATACCTAAGCATGCTCATCTCTTGCTGCCTGCCTCTTGCAACCCATGCCGCGCAAACTGCCCATAGACAAAGACAGCCCAAGAAGCTGGCAACATAATCATAACCGAAAGCGTACACATATCCTGTTGAAAGCTCAGTTTGAATGTCACTCGCCGGGATGATGGTTTACTACGGTTATGACCTGTGCACCCAGGGCCTGCCACTCACAACACAGCGCAATAGCTACACTGAAATCACTGTTTCAGGGACTGGTATGCAAACAGCTGCCAACTCAAGGAGGCGGCTACTAGGGCATCTTAGTCTTAGCCATCGCAGGTTGCACATTTCACACATGGAGTCATTCTGTCATCCATTTCTAAGCTTCTGGCCGCAGAACTCAGTGCCATAGGTTTTCTTCCTGTCCGCCTGGGCCAGATCAAGCGACAACAGGCTTCGGAGATAAGCAGACCTTTTGCAATGTTTGTTGGGCAAGGAATGTGGCTGCCCGAGTACTTAGTTCCAAGTGCCCGGCCCAGTTTCCAGGCATGACCAAAGCGCAGTCGAAGGTCTCGCTATCCTGGAACCACTATATAGCTATGGTTGGATACCTCAACTCTATGGCCAGACATGTGCCCTTAGCGTAATGCGCACAGTATGACAAAGCTTCTTCGCATCAATTTGTCTTTGGGCCCCGCATGACACAGCAGAAGCAAGAAATTTTGTGCTGCCAACTTCCAATGCAAGGTGCTTACCCAACAATCGTTTCAAAAAATGGCTCTACATCTATACAAGGCCGGTTGGAGATGTAACACAAGGCAGAAAGACACATAGTCAGGCAGTCTTTGTTGCTTGCGCGAGCTTGAGAGGCAGCACGCCCTTGACTGGTAAGGCTGCTTTTACCCCGACAAGCCTGCGCCAGGAGTGCTGGCTCTTCTGGATCCTGGCTGCTGAAGCACCGAACGCTTACGTTCAGTAGCCTATGCCAGCAGAATTCTGGATGACAGCAGTGTTGGTAAACCCTACCATTTACTTGAATTTAGTCGCTAACTGGAGATCGCACCTTGAGGGATGGAGCCTTCCCACTGCCCAAGCAAAAGCTTTGTGGAACTGTCCATGCTTTATCAACATATTTCTCTTTCCTCCCAACATTAACATGTACATAACCTAGATCAGGCACAGCTTCGCCCTCTTCGGTCCTTGAGAGGTTCGCGTGCGCACAGGTTCCAACCTGGCATGTACTGCCTGGGCGGCATGCTTCATCCTAGGACATGCCTCAACCCGTTTGAGCATGGTGAGCGCGGTTTCATACGATTTCATATCCAGTCGTCGAACGTCCATGCTGCTCATGTCAGGCGGCTTGAGGATTTGAAGGACCTCCTCCTGAGACCTCTCAGCAGACCATGCGAAGTGGACGAACTTCTTGGCCTGCACATGAGGCTGGTCCCAAACATTGGATCCTACTCAAGCTGGCCGC